GGGGGAATGGATGGGGGTGCTGACAGCACAGTGGACAGTGACAGGGATAGCAGAGTGTGGAGGCTCTAGTGGGAGAGGAAGGCTGTCTACCTGACGAGTTTGTATTCATGCTCAGATGCCGAGGAGCTCAGAAGGTGGGTGACTGTAACCAGTGATAGTCATGTATATAGAGATTAGAAATGCATGTGAAAACGTCTCAATGTCAATAGGCTTGGAATGAATTTTTCTGTATGAAATTGTGTGTTTTGACAACGAAGTGGAGATCTTTTTTAAACGTTGGAACCTCATTTAATTTTATGTCTTATAGAGTTTATAATGAGTAAAAGATTATATAAGGGTAATAATTCATCTGTAAACCTAGAAATGTACAGCCAATTTTGAAAGAGATGTACCCTAGCTCAGAAAAATGTTATTGAATAGGTTAATGCTGTTGTAATGAAATGCTTCTTCTAATTTAAAAAAACAAGGGGGTTTATTTTCTTTTTGTGTTTTGACTATTGGGAATGGAGAGAATTATGACCTTACAAGGTAAAAATCACAAATTACTGGAGGAGAGAGGTTGTATATTAGCATATAAAGACTAATTTTACTTTTGATACTGATTATTATATATTTTATTATATACAAGTAATCTCAAAATTTTCAGTGCTATGCATATATTCAGTTCGCTAGCCACAAATTCTAGAAAGCATGTCTCTTTTTTTAAAAATCTAATCATATTCTCCATGTGATCAAACAAAACAGGAGACAGGAATAATCATAGAAATGGTAACTTAGTTTTGGAGGTGTGTGCTGGATAGTTGTCAACCTGACCAACTTGGGAAAAGGGAACCTCAGTTGAGGAAATTCCTCTATCAGATTGGGCCTGTGGGCATGTCTGTGAGGCATTTTCTTGATTGCCACCCCTGAGCAGGCAGTCCTGGGTTATATAAGAAAGCAGGTTGAGCCAGAGGAGCAAGCCAATAAGGAGATTTCTTCTGTAGCCTGTGGTTCAGTTCCCTCCTCCGGGATCCTACCGTGAGTTTCTGCCCTGGTTTCCCTCAATTGTGATTGGGACATATAAGGCAAATAAACCCTTTTCCCCAAATAGGTTTTGGTCAGAGTGTTTTCTTACAGCATCAGAAAGCTAACTAGAACAATGTGTAAATGTCATGCTAACTTTGTATTTTTAAAAGGAATTCTTTTTTGTTAGAGTTCATATGTTCTGACTGAGTGACTGTAAATGAATATTCCAATTCTCCAAAATTATGAGACAGAGAATTACTGATACATAGTATACTTCTGAAAATGAAAAAAAAACATGTGTTGAAACATTTAATGTATCTTTATTTTAATTTTCCTTTTATAGAAGATAAACACTGGCTCGAAGCAGGTATGCAATAAGGCATCAGGCAATGTATATTTATATATTATACTTGATGATTTTGTCTCTAAATAGAAAGTTTGTTACAGTTTGAATCATAAGATATCTTTCTTATAGTGGGAGAAACGCTGTCTACCTATGATGAAAATACACGAGATTTCATGTTCCCGGGTCCAAACCAAATTTCTGGACACCATGATTCAAACCGCCAGGTTACCATGAGGAGGATTTCTGGCCTTCGAGTAAGTGCTCTCATTTGCTGAGTCATCTTTGGAGGCAGGGTAATAGAACTACCCTGCAGGCCTCAGTATAATAAAAGTGCAGAAGTTACTCAAAATTGGATTTGATTTCAAACATGTTTCATATAATTGTATTATTTTAAGCAGTGTGAAATGTAGTAAAAATAATTTAGGAAAGCTTAAGGCACAAATCACCCCAAATTAACACATATTATATTGGCTTGCATTCCCCACTGCCCGCTCTCATCCTTTCCATAGTCTCTTACTTTTCCTCTATGTTTCTCTCTGAGGAATGACCAACAAGCATGTGAGAGATAATCAGTCTCAGCATTTAGGAAAATCTAAAGTAAAACAATCACTTTTATACATACATGATTACTGGCAAAATTTAACAGATATTAAGTATTTATAAATTGAGAACTTTCATATACTGCTGTTATATAAGTTGGAATAATCACAATTCAGAATTATTTAATAAAGACAAAGGTTTACATTGCATATGGCCTTCTATATAGGTATCTTAGCTATATCTTCACTGGTATACCAAAAGCCTTCATAAGAGTACCCTCCCATGCCAGAGATAGAACCCAGGACCACACATATGTTAATCAAACACTCTACCACTGAGCTATAGCCGCAGATTAAGGTGTTTTCTTATAATATTGTTGATAGTAGTAAAAAGTAGAAACAATTAAAATGCCCATTAGAAGTTTGTACAGATTAATTATGAAGTGTTCATAGACTATTCATATATGTAAGATTAAAAGGTGCTTTAAGACACTCTTCTTTTCTGATTAGCAATAATTGTGTGTCAAATAACTCTTATTAGATGCAGTACTGCCACCATATAAAACTGTCTTACCCTTTCCTACCTCTTCCTTAACTTCTTTGATTTAAAAATATTTTTTTCCTGAAAGTAAGCCTGCTGCTCAGATAAAATGAGCCCATATTGTTTCAAAGAAGAAGTAAAAGTTGTCTAGCTTGAAATTACTTGGACAGTTTTTAAACTGATTTTATAGTATCTTAGAATAATATGACTAAGGAAAGTGGGGTGGTATAGTAGCTATTTGGTGAATTAAGTAAATTTCCAGTAAGTCTAGGTTTATGATATGCTATATCCAAAGAAATAGCAACCTTCATTTACTAAAAGCACAGTCTATGAAAATATTTCTCCTTTGAGATATTTTTGGGTATCATTAGTCAGCCTTTATAATATAAAAGTATCCATAGAGTATTTAAAGAGCAGTGTGAAACCCCAGAATGAAAGAAAATCATTTTTAAGCTTATACTTTTTAAAAAGTAATTTAAAATTCTGGGCATGGTGATGCACACCTTTAATCCCAGCACTCGGGAGGCAGAGGCAGGTGGATCTCTGTGAGTTCGAGGCCAGCCTAGTTTCCATAGCGAATCCAGACCAGCTGCAGCTACAGGGTACCGGAAGACCCTGTCTCAAAAAGACCAAAAAAAAAAAAAAGTAATTTAAAATGCTATATTCTACCAAGATGGCAGTATAAATTCAACTGTGTGGGGTATTAACAGGAATTTACTTTCAGCATTTAACTTGAGTTACTTGCATGTCTAGAAGGCATTTAATTGTTAAGATGAAAGGTATAAAAAAATCAGGACTTTTAGTAACAGCAGTGTGAATAGCTTGACAGCACTCCATACATGAAGCAAGTATAAAAGTGTACAAAGTTGTCATAATCAACGTCAGGGCCCTGAATATTAACTAACAAATAGGACAAGATGAATGAATTAGCCCCAGCTGACCTGAAACTTGCTATGTAGACCAGGCTGGCCTTCATCTCACAGAGATCTGCCTGCCTCTTCCTCCTAAGTTCTGGCATTAAAGGCATGCATCACCACACTCAGATGACAGATGATATTTTTATGCTTGAAATGTGACTAAAGTTGTAGTTAACTATGCCAGGAATCTGGGGCTCTCCTGCTGGGGATACCCCATACTCTGCCTGTTAAATGGGAACTGGAACTTCTGCAGCCTGAAGCTGGTACAAACAGCAGCAGCAGATTTGCTACCAGAGGGATCAAAATCAATTTATCCACCTGGGATGGGTAGCTGGGCTTTTCCTGCTAAGGATGTCCATTCATTTGGAAGCAGAGGAAGAAACCCCACAGCTGGGCATGACCCATTGCCATTCTGATTGGGGTAAATGGCACACCAGCCAGGAAGATGACAGGGAGAGTCAGGAAACAAAGGGGCAATAAGCAGGCCATGAGAAGGTCACTTCCTTTTCTTGTCTGGCTTTGAAACTCTGTGTGCCAGGGAGACAGTGAGAAACAAGCAAAAAGGAAAAACCAAGGGAAACTGGCTATAGTTTTCAGTTCATTCCCTCACCCACTCACTGAAAGTCAGTTTTTGTCTGACTTGAGTTTACATCAGTCTTATGCATGTTGCCTCATGGCATGTTAATCACTGACAGATTCCATATACAAAGGTGGCTATGGCATATTTGGGCATGTAATGGGGCATATTATCCAGGTTTCTGGAAATATAGATGATGATAAAATTGCCTAAAGACACATTTTTGCGAACTGTATTCCTATCATTAAGTGACATGGAACTGTACTTTTGGAAATTCTTTGATAGGCCTCTCTTTCAAAGGCAGAGCTATTTCCACTTCTGTTAACTCAGCATATATTATGATAAATATAATAGGGCAGTGTGACTGTGTTGCATTGCTGAGTCAGGTCATGGAAAGCATTTGGGAGCTCCTCCTTCCTCTTTCTCATGGATCACTCACCACAATAGAAGCCACTGTCTTGTGAGGACACTAAAGCAGCTCTCTAGATAGAGCAGAAGCTTACAGAAATGGTCAAAGAAGCATTTCAGGAAAGTGAGGTAAATGTTATTGGAAACTGGCAAAAAAGGAATCCTTGTTTTGTTTAACAGTGTGGCTGTCTGCAGTAATGTGGAATGTAGGGCAGAACTCTAAAAAGACTGTCCAAGGAGACTTTGTGCTAGTATTGGAGTGGACTGCCTGGTTTCCTCTTGATGCTTACCATACAACCAAAGAAGGAAAGGCCAGAAAACCAAAAGGAATCAGAACTCAGTATTTCTGTTGATTCCCAGCCCCTGTCATTTGTGGGCAATACTGAAATTGAGAAATGGCTTAGAACTAAAAATCATTCCAGGACACTTTCTGAAGTACTATGAAATTCTTAATTACAACTTCAGAAAGATCCGGCTAATTGTCCTAGAAAACCATTTACTCAACCAGTTTTCCAAAGATGCTTAAGGACATTTTCATCAATGCCAAAAGCACTGAAAAGGGTATAGATTTTGTTTTAGGGAGGAAGTACCATTAAAGGTCACGCGATGCAAAAAAGAGTCAGACAAAAACGAAGTAAGAGCATTATATCAATAGAAACAACACTGGTTTGAAATGGAGAGAGCTATTACAATGGTAATATCTCTTCAGAACCCAAACTCAGAACTGTACAGAACTCCTAATAATCTACCTTCTATTTCAAAGGATTTGTGATTCTGAAACCAGAAGAGCCTAGAATGCATAGCTATGAAATGTGTATTGTCCTGAGTAGGAATTGGGACCAAATCTCAATTATGGAGCTTCTCACATTTCCATGTCTGGATTTCAGGAATGTTAAAACGAGTGGTTCTTATTTACTTGTCATTTTTCCCCCTTTTGTACAGGAGTATCAGTGATTGCCTAGATTTGTCGCAGGTGTGAACAGTGTGTGTTTGTGGTATAGAAAACTTGTCTTTTGATATCTATAACTAAAGGACCTTATTTATTCCAGAATTTGATTTACATGCCAACATTGTGAATTTCAAATTGAGTTTGTAAGGTTATAAAAGAATAAGACTTCCTTCTTCAGTTGTTTTTGATGGAACGTGAGTGTATTTTGCAAGAGGAATATAAGTAATTTGTAGTCATAAGGAAGACTGCACATAGATATTTTGATACTCCTCAACTGAAAAGGTGACCCAGCTCTTGGGTCCTTGAGTATGGACTGTACTTAGCAACTGTAATGACTAAAATGTGGTGGATATGGCAGTTGAGACAATGCCATTATGGTTTCCTTCTTGATTTTCCTTGCATTACTCACTTTGGGGAAATTTGTCACATGTCATGAGGATCGTGAGCAGCTCTATGGAGAGGCATATCAGATGTAAAAAACTAGAGGGAAACAGGCCTCTAGCCAACAGTGGTGTGTCTTGGGAAGGAGACTGCCAAACTACAGTCAAGCTTTCAAGTGACTGCAGCCAAAATGCCATCTTGACTGCACACTCATGAGGGTGTCCAAGACAGACCCATCTCAGACTCTGTAGACTGCTATTCCTTAGACAATATATGCTTGCCAGTGGTTTAAAACTCATGAGGGTGTCCAAGACAGACCCATCTCAGACTCTGTAGACTGCTATTTCTTGTCACATTTTGAGTAATATATTAGGTGTAGTAATAGATAACTAACAAGTGGGTATAGTGGATGTCATTAATAAAAGGTATGTGCAGGAAAAAATACTTCTGATTTACATTTTCTGTAACAGATATGATGTTTTAGATTTTAAACTCAATTGGTCATAGGCTGGTGGTATAGAGGATTTGTCCAGTGTCTGACTTGTGCTGTAGCAGGAAGAAGTTGTTCTAGGCCCAGCCAACATGCTTCAATGTTTGGTTGTATGCATAACATGTACTTAAAAATTTTCTCAGGTGCATTGTAACTGTCCCTTTGAACTGCCTCTTTGTCTCCATTTATCTCAAAACTGCTCAAGCTGATTATTGAAATGCTGCTAAAAATAGAACCCAGATAAATTTCTACACTTGAATGTAAGGTATATTATAGGAAAATACTAGAGAATACTAAAAGACATCTCTTCTGTTTGCAAAAATTACATACCTGTGAGTTATGATATTTTTCCAATATGAGACATCCAGACTTTTAAAATATTTTAATTGTCAGATAAATATTATATATGATGTACAAATGATATTTTGGTATATGTAGACATTCTGGAATGGCTTAATGAAAGAAACAATGATTTCTTGATTGTATAGTTAAAAGGTCTTTGATTGTAAATGTAGAGAGCTTTGAAACCAATTGAATATGATCACATATTTATGAGTATATTATGCCAAAATTTATGTTAAAACTCTGACAGGAGACATTTGAAAACAATTCTTAATTATTCCATGTTACAGAATTGTTTCTAAACAAATCATTAGCAATGAAACTGCTTATTACTAATACTTATCGTTGTTGTGCTATCTTTATAACAAAAGGTTCAAAGTAACAAATGACGTGCTCTGACAAGTATTTGTTAATTCAGATCTTATTCTCATCACTAATTAACTCTTTAATGGCAATGTCTAATACCACCCTGCAATTTTTTTTTTATGTCTCAGGGAATTGCTCCAAAACTGGAATTTTCTACAACTTCAGTGATCACTGAATGTCTGATAAGTTCAAGGAAGTGCCACACTCAGGTAAGATAAAGTATTAACTGTTCATTTTATTCATATTTATGGCCACTTAGCAAGCTTTATTCCTTTGTTTAGGCTGCATCTCTTTTCACCTTTTTTGTTCAATCTTCAGTTTAAGTAAAAAGAGTTAACACAGGGCTCAATGTTTTGATTCTATCTTAGTAAATAGGAGAATGAAAATCTTCACATGCATGATAGAAGGCACCATGATGTTTTGTCTGTTTATTTACTTATTTTATTTCATGGACTTTTATTTATTTTTTTTTTATTTAAATTTTACTTTATTTTCTCCCTTCCCTTCAATGGATTTTTTTTAATGCAAATAAAAGTCAAACTGACAGAAGACAATGAATTCAGAAATTCCTAGAGAAAACTCCATTAGAGACCTCCATAAATCTTACAGAAGTTACAGGTTACTATAGAGTTCACAGGATACCTTTTGGCAAATGTAACAGAGGTTCTCAGATGGGGAAGTTTGTGTTTAGTGAGTGTGACTTCTTGAATATATGTAACTCCTTAAGGAACTATTGCTCAAGTTGGTGACCATACTATACTGGTCCTGTCAGATCGAAGGAAACTTGGATGCCCCAGCCTATATAGCTTCTGTTTGTGAAAATTCCCTTTAATAAGCTATCTGGACCTACTATTCCTTATATTCTAAATTCTTACTGAGCCACAAGGTGGTCTTCTGATAGACAGTTACCTCATCCACAGGCTATCTCATCAGAGCCAGCATCACCCATGTGCAGTTTCATCACAACCATGTAACAATGAGCTATAAATCCCAGAGAACTAAATCAGGGCAGGATTGGGCCAGTCATGGACAGAGTGGAATGGTAATTTGCTGTATTATCAGTTTTAAAGTCAGTTTTCTGGGGATGGTAATGATGACTTAAACTAAGAAAGGTAAAATGCAGTTATAGAACTACTGAAGGGAACACTTTTTTTTCTTTTTAGCAAGGTATTTGGTATTTCCAAGTCAGTCTGTAGTTATTTAACTTTTAAATGCAGATATTAGATATCTTAGCCTGTGCCTACCAAATACAGAGAAGTTTTATTGGCTTCTTTTTGAGATACGTACTGTGCACATTTGTAAATTGTTAAAAATGCTTTGCCTGGGGTTCAGGAATTTTTTCTGTCCAAATTAGAGTGTGCCTGTGTAATGAATGGATAGAAAAGTCTTTTTAATTTTTCACTTCTTGTCTGAAATACAGCATCCACACAGAAAAGGTTATACCTTCCACGTGTACGGGTCAGTGGAAGAACCTCTTCTGAATGTAAGGCCCTCACATCAGTTAGAATCATTGTACTTTATGAACTAACATTTTCTAGAAAAATGACTCCCCCCCTCAACTTGCTTGGAATTGTCATTTGATCTTTACTGAACAGAATGTAAGAGGATAGGTTTTGAACCAGACAGTGTTTCAGAAAGTATGCTGTAGAGCTGTGGGGTTGAAAATCTAAACCATTGTAACTTAGTAGTAGACCACTGGCCTTAGCATGAGTGAGGCCCTGGGTTCAACCCCAGCACCAAAAGAAAGGAAAAGGTGAGGAAGAGTGAGGAAGAGAGGGGAAGGAGAGAAGGAAGAGGGAGGGAGGGAAATGAAAGAAATTAAAGAGCTTAAGTTCCCTATAAGGATGTCATAAAGATTGGAGAATGTAAGCATGTAGCATATAGTTAATGAATGTTGTTACTGTTTAGGATAATTGGGAAAGGTATAGAACACCAGAGTTAAGAAAAGGTAGAAAATGCCTGGAAACAGAATAGACTAGTTCTCTTTTACACTAACATTTGAAGATTAACAGTCCTTAATCATATTTAAGATGCTGATAACCTATATTTTTTCTCAAGTGAATGCTAGATACAATTAAAATTTATCATTTCTATAAAGTAGCATTTTATTTTCAAAGGAAAGAATAGAACAAATAATTTTTGAGAAGAGTAAAATAATTTTTATTAGATTTATATTTAGCAATATTTGTAATCTTATTCCTATTGTGCTTCATTTTCAAATTTAATGTTTGCTGACAATTTAATGGACCAGAGACTTAAGCATATTGATGTGATTTTTCTAAGAAAATACCCAACTTTCTACTCAGTTACTCTTTTTACCTTTTGTAAAGTGAAATTTATTATTAGATGAAATATAAATAGTAGTCTTTTAAATATATTATTAGTCATTGTTAATCTTCTATAGGTTTTATTGTGTAACAAACCTCACTAACTTAATGGCTTAAAACAGTAAGCATTTTCAGCTCTGAGGGTCTGTGGGATGATACTTTTTGGTGTCTGGCTAAGGCTGAATGATCTGGGGTGGTTTTACTCAAAATATGGCATTTTGCACATGAATTCTTAGAGCAGAACCTTTCATTTCTTGCAGTAAGCCTGAGGTCAGCTAAGGTGATGATTCTAAGACTCATCTTCTAACAGGCTTATAATTGGGACTTGTTCATTTGCTGACAGAAAGATGCTCAGGAGTAAGAGTTGACAGTCATTTTTAAGATTTTTTCTTTTGCCACAGTGATTTGTTGGTTAAAGGAAGTCATACAATCAAGCCTAGCATGATCCTAGGAGGAGAAACTATCAAGTGTAGTCGGGAAATGATGGCAGTCATTTTGCAAACAGTATAAGACAACCACTATTTAAAGGTTTAGTAGACACGAACAGAGAGTATTAAGGCATATGCAAGTTTGGACAGCATTTGTAACAGATGGCATGTCGTTTATAACTGCCTGTAGAAGTATGCAACATTTAAAAACTTTAGTGAAGAAAGATGAGGTTGTTTTCATAAGGTCTGGCATACTCAGAGGTCAGCATATATAAAGGAACTATGAGCATCACTGAAGATAGACCCTTAGGAGTTTAGCTGTGCCTGAAAAACAGCAATGTGTGAAGGACAAGGGGAAAGAGGTGCTGGGACTGAGATGTGAGGGTAAGTAAGAGACTCAGTGAGAGTGGAGGAAATAGCTTTAGGAAAAGGGAGTTTTTAACTTGTAAACACAGGGGAACTATACAGAGGAGAAATTCAAGAATCTGTAGAAAGATAATTAAAGCTGAAACTTAGGGACTCTAAGGCATTAGAAAGACCCATTGCTTGAATCCTGTTATATATAATTATAGTTGAATGAATAAGACATTTTTAACAGTTTTTTTTTCAAAATGATTTCACAACTCACAAGACAAATACTTTCTTTTGTTTTCTTTTGACACAAAAGTCTCAGTTGCCTCGGCCAAGCTTAAGCTGTCTCAGTGTCCCTGCCAGGATTACAGACATGTGTGACTATAGAAATCTAGCATATAAATTTTAAAATAATTAAATCTGGTTCCTTTAAATTGTATAGCTCATTATTTGAATATTTAAGTATAAGCAATAACCACTCTGCATTAATTTTTAATAAACTGAAATAAGTTTTTTGCTTTATTGGAATTTTGCAAGTGATTGGTTGTTGGGCTTTAATTTTTGTTGAACCTGTGTTAGAGTTAAAAAGGATGTTAAGAGTGAAGTACTCCGGAGATAGAGACAGGTGGATTCCTGTGAGTTCAAGGCTAACCTGGTCTACATAGCAAGTGCCAGGCCAGCCAGGCCTATAGAGTGAGAACCCCATCTCAAAACAAAATTAAAAACAAACAAAAGGAAGTTTGATGCAGTAACCTTTATTAACTAGAAGAATGTGAATTTGACTCCCCCAGGATCAGCACAGAAAATGACAGATCTGGTTAACATTGATAACTTTTGTATACCTTAATTTACTTTTAAAAGTTTTTATTCTATCTGTAGAATATTTTAAAATATCTTCTGCCCATGTGAATTTTTATTGTTTATGTTTAGGATAAATTTACTTACCATTCGGCTCCAGTTGAAAAATCCCACGACAGAATGCAATGCAGAACATCAAGATCACAAAAGAAAAAGTCCAAGCCACCTGAAAGAAGTAAATATTGCATAAATGCAAAAAACTATGAACAACCTACAATTTCTTCAAAGTCACACTCTCCATCTCCCTACACAAAAAGACGTATGTGTGAGCTCTCTGAAGACACCAGGCAGCGGCTGGCCCATTTAAATTTGGGGCCCTATGAATTCAAAAAAGAAACAGATAAGCCTCCATTTGTGATAAGACATGTATGTTTTCTCCTAAACATTTCCATTCAAAACTTATCAAATCCGTTCTGCCAAAATACTATTCTAAAATGGATTTCAATCCCTAGCTTATATGCATAATTTTCTTGAACTTTAAGCCAGTAACCTAAAGTAGAAAATTAACTTAAAACAAAAGAACATGCTTTTTGTTCAGTCTCTAATGCTGACAGAGCTTGAGCCCCATTACAGATGCTGTATTAACTCTCCTAAGTAACCATTTGCAGTCTCATACAGCAGATAGCATCAGAGGGTATCATAACTCTACAAATTGAACTTGGTTGTATTTGACATTCATACTGAAATGTTAGAGTACAATTTTAAAAGAGAAACGAAAGGTTCTGAAAAAGATTCGGCATCATTCGAAAAAAATGATACTGGGAAGTAGGTGTTCTTGAGATAAAGTCCTTTGGGAAAGCTTTGGATCATAAATCTTTGAAGCAAACATGTATTTGATGGTCATTTATGAGAGTTCCTCTGGAATTAAGGATAGCATAGTTCTAATATTTTTATTTAGAAATTGTTTTGCTATGATTAAAGTTAGAGCATGTGTTTGTATGATGGTTGCATAGACTTTGGTTAAACTTGAATGTTTATAGTCAGAATTCAATTAAGGAATGTCTCAGAGTCTTCATAGTTTCTTGAATTAAAACACTTTTTTGGGATGTATATGAGTGTTTTGCCTGCATGTGTGTAAGTGTACCCATGTCATACAAGGCCTGCAGAGGTCAGAAGAGGGCATAGATACCCTAGAACTGGAGTTAAGGATGGTTGGCTGCCATGTGGGTGCTGGGAACCAAGCCCAGATCCTCTACAAGAGCAAACAATGCTCTTAACCACTGAGCTATCTCTCCAGCCCCCAGTCTCTTGATTTTTTAAAATACAGTATTTTATTTACCTTAAAAGCTACTCTACCAAAAGCTTTTAATTAAAAATACTACATATTTGCATATATACTAATAGTAAATCTTAAGATTTATATGCCTGCAGAAGCAAGACAGTGTTTGTGAGTATATATGAATAATGTCTTTATTTTTTCTAAATTCTAAAATACTAATGTTGGAATATACCCCTTTGGAAGTCAATTACCTCTTGAATTTCTGCCATATTTCAACTGTTCTAAAGGTTACAAGTTAGTAATAATAGTAAGGATATTCACAGTACTGTGCAACTATCCAATTAAATTCCATTGTCATAAATAGAAGTTATGTGATTATGAAGTACTCCCCATTCTGCCCCCCAGCTCCAGAAACATGAATATTTTTGTCTCTATAAATTTGCCTGTTCTGCTTTTTCATATAGAGTCATATAGGATTTGGCCTTTTGTGCTTGGCTTCCTTTAGTACATTTCTTTTGCAGTTCATCCATGTTGCATGTGTTTTTACTTTTTTTTTAATGGCCTAATAATATTCCATTACATGAATATCTGCCACATTTGTTTTTATATCTGTTGAAGGTTATTTGTGATGTAAATCTGGCTACTATAAACAGTGCTTCCATCAACAATTAATGCACAAGTTTTTGGATGAATACTTATTTTCAATGCTTTAAGGTAAATACCTAGAAGTAGACTTGCTTTATCATATATTAATTCTATGTTGAACCTGAGGAATGCCAAAGTGTTTATCTAAGTGGCTACACAATTTGCATTCCCATTAGCAGTGCAGGACAATTCCAATTTCTCTACATTCTCACAAACACCTTTTATTTTCTGGGTTTTTGTTGTTTTCTATCACTCTTTTATGGTACTGGGGATTAAAGTCAGGTCTTCTTGCATGCCAGGCAAATATTCTACTGCTTGCAATAACCCTAGGCTGTCCCATTTTCACCATAGCCTTCTTAGTGAGTGTGCGGTGACATCTTAGTTTTGTTTGAGTACCATTTCTCTAGTCACTGATGAGGTTGAGTATTTTTCCATGTTAGTGCTTCTGCTTGAGAGAAAGGTCTACAAGTCTTTTACATATTTTATAATGTACTTTATTGTTATTTACTTGTAGGAATTCTTTACCCATGCTTGATAACTCCTCATCAGATAGGTATATGATTTGCACATTTTTTTTTTTGATCTTAGGAATTACTTCTTTACTCTCTATATACCGTTCTTTGATTCACAAGAGGTTTTTAATTCTGGTGAACAGGCTCATCTTTTTATGCATGTATATCATTCTGGCAGTTTTATTTTTAGGTAGAAAATGGGGTTGACTTATATCATTTGTAAACTCTAAAGCACTCAGCATGCTAGGAGCTCTGAACACAGCCAAGTAATGACATCTTTGAATTCAAAATGCATATACCAAGTAGCAAGTGAGGCAAAGTAGGTTACTCTTCTGTTTTGTAACTTTGTAGTGCAATACAAAATAGGAAGTGGGGTAGTAGATATTTAACCAAAAATCCTTTTCTTTTTTTTTCTTTTTCTTTTTTTGAGCACAGGCCCCTTCCATTAACCTGCTGTGAGGCCTGTGTTCTAGTTGTTCTTGTGCATGAGATTGATAATGGGAATGAATGGAGCAGCTGAAATTCTCTTTTACATTTCAAATCCTTCTTCCTATAGGTTGATCCCCCAAGTCCCAGGGCTAATAATTTATTTGGACCATCAGGCAGAGACTGTGAAAGAGATGGATGGTCCAGGATGCACAATGGTAAGGCAGAAGCTTGCTTTCGTCTTAGTTGCCTTAGCTGAAGTTCAGCCTTTAACCTGACTCTGATTTATTAAAATGCAGTATTTGCTCTATTATTGAATTTGTTGTGACACTTATATAGATACTTCATAAAAGGAATAGGATTTCTATCCTGCTGTAAACCATATTCTTCTTTGAGATTCAAAATGCATATTAGTATTTAAATATTATACTACCTTATAGTAAAAATTACTGTGTTCTGCTCATCATTTTCTAAAGTTATTTGACTATGAAACGTATTTCTCGCCTTAACATATTAATTTGTAGAACAGGTTTTTTTATACCATGATGAAAAAGTTCAAGGTTATGGATTTTGGAAATTAGTTTATATAGATGATGTTGAGCATCTTCTGTGTTAGTGCATCTTCCTGGGAAAAAGGTCTACTCAAGTCATATGTGAATTTACTTAAACCTGTCACTTATTTACATACTTAACATTCCTTTTTATATTTTATTATTATAGTTTTATGTGTATGAGTGTATTGCCTGTGTGCGTGTAAGTGTACCCGTGTTGGGCAATGCAATGCCCCTGAAGTTCAGATCAGGGCATCAAATTCCCCTGGAACTGGAGTTATGGATAGTTGTAAGCCACCATGTGTGTTCTGGGACTCGAACCCAGGTCCTCCGCAAGAATAGCCAGTGCTCTTAACCACTGAGCCATCTCACCAGACCCCTTAGCATTCTTAGAAAAGTAATTTTAAGTGCCTCAATAATCACTTTATGAATAAAGAGATAGCTTTGAAGTGTGGATTGCTATGTAATGAATTTGAAGTCAACCTTAGCTACGTGAGACTTTGTCTCGAAGAAGTAAAAATTAAGGAAACTCCAAGTTACTTCTTTCTTTTTGCCCCCCTCAGTTATTTTATATTTGCCATCTTCATATTTTGTAGCCCAACAACAGCTTTATTTTGTCATGATTTGAAAGCCTTGAGTATTACTCTGAATTACCTCAATTGGTTTGGTGGCCCTCATCTTTAATACCAGCACTTAGGAGGCAGAGGCAGATGGATCTCTGTGCAATCCAAGCCAGCCAGGACTTCAAAGTGAGAATATCTCAAAAAATTATTTAAAATAAAAATAATAAAAAGAAATATTTCTGCTGGGCATGGTGGCTCACACCTTTAATCCCAGTATTCGGAAGGCAGAGGGCAGGCAGATCTCTGTGAGTTTAAGGTAAGGTCTACATAGTGAGTTCCAGGCCAGCCAGTACTACACGGTGAGACCCTATCTCAAAATAATAATAGTAGTAAATAATAATAATAATAATAATAATAATAACACATTCAAAGATATTCTGGGAAGGGCTAGACAGACAAGGCATTCTAGAAGTGTTTATTTCCTGGCTGTGAATCTATGGAGAGACCCTTGAAGGAGACAGGGATGGTGAACAGGTCATCCTTGTCCATCCAAAATGGCTGCAACAAGAAATGGTGCCAGACTTTCCTCCCTTACTGGGATGGTGATCAGAGCCACAGTGAGGACAGAGTTCTTCCCCACATCAGAACCCCTCATTCTTCAGAGAGCCTCCTAACACCATGAGGCTGTGAACCACCCTGCTGGTAGGGAGCCTTTCTGGTCCAACACATGCCTTCAAGGAAATCAGGGCAGTTCTTTTTCTTGGTCTTGGGTGAAGTGCTTAAAGATTTCTCTCATCCCGGCTGGAAAGATGGCATAGTGCTTAAGAGCACTGGCTGCTCTTGCAGAGGACCCAGGTTTGATTCTCAGCACCCACACCATGGCTAACTATAACTCTATAACTCTAGTTCTAGGGGATTCAGTGCCCTCTTTTGGCCTCTGCAGGCGTTGCACAGCACAGGTGCACTTACACACATGAGGGAATACACTTGTACATGTAAAATAAAAATAATAAAATGTTAAAAAAATAGAATAGAGATAGCATGGGAAATTTTTCCATGAAAAGTGTCTGAGCACACACATTTAGCAGATACTAGCTAAAATGATATTCTGGAAGGATTGGTTCTTTACATTTAATTTGTAAGACTATAGTTTACTTTTTAATCCTGTCTCTATAGTGAGATCAGAGAAGGAAAAAAATGGCATCATAATGTAGTAAGCTCTGACACTGTTTATTCTAAACTGTAATGTCTAATCCGTCCCCCCCCCCCTTTTTGAGGTTTAGAGAGCTGCATCAAGCAGCATGAGTTTAATAGCCTCAACACAAAAACAGGAAAATAACCTAATTCACTATAGTTTAGTACCTGCATTTTTGTGCGTTGGTACACTGGGTTTGTGGCTTGTGACTATATGAAACACCTTTGTTTCTTGTACTCCTAAATTAAATTGTAGTTTGTTCATATATTGTTAGGTTGAATATAATCCCTTTTTAATAAGAGCTTATCTGTATTATTTTAAAATACATGTGTGTGGAGGCGGGGTGTGTGTGTATTTGTGTTCATTTGTTCACAGAAGCAAGAGGCGTTGGATCCGCCAGAACTTATAAGCTGTTATGAATCTCCTGACTTGGGTGCTGGGAATTGAACTCAGGTCCTCTGAAGAGCAATATGCACTCTTAAACAGTGAGCCATCCCTCCAGTCTATCTAATACCTTTAAAAATTATTTTTATTTATGTGTATACCTGCATGTATGTAAATGCACCCATGTTGTGCAATGCCAGTGGAGGTCAGAAGAGGGCATTCCATACCCTGGAAATGGAGTTGTAGATGGTTGTTAGCCACCATGTTGGTGCTCGGAATTGAGCCTGGATCCTCTGCAGAAGCAGCCAGTACTCTTAACAGCTGAGCCATCACTCCCAGCCCCTCTAATAGCTTTTAAAAATGAAGACATAAAATATTTCTAGAGAACATGTATAATTTGGGCTTTTTTTCCACTGATATGGAGAAAGGCTTCGGTTAAACTTGAATGTTTATAGTCAGAATATTCACTAAAGGACTGCTTCAGAATTTTCATAGTTTCTCAAATTTTCAAAAAGTATTTTATGTTAAAAACCACTTTACTGTTAGTCTTTTATATCCAAAATATCATATTATATGAAATTATTATGAAATTAAAACACTGCTGTTAACTGTTTCCTCTCTTTGGAGAAACTTACAGACAGAAAATGGGCTATGTGAGCTAGGCAGTGGAAAGTAACTTCAGTATAGATTGTGTTGGGAAGATTCTTTACAACACTTAGTGTCTGACTTCTCTTGGCAGTTAAATATTTGTCAGCAAAATGGTTATAGTTCCTAATAACTTAGCAAAGCTGTCAGTTTGCTATGTAGAAGTTTGCTCAGAGACTTCAACATGAGTAGTCTTTTTGTTTTTAGCTTTTTATCTTGACATCTTTGCACACAAAAGTAAGAGTATAGACAATTCTTGTATCTCTCTTATTTAGAATCCACAAATGACATTTGCTTTCTGTTTCTCTTTTTCATCCTTATTCTCTTCTCCCCCCTTACTACCACTACTGTACATGTTCCATTGCATAAATTTTTGCTACAGTCTGAACTGTCCCTAACAGTTTGTTGAGCTGGGCATGTGGTACATACTTGTCATTCCAGCACTTTGGAGGTAGATACAGTAGGATTAGGACTTTAAGACCAATATCACTACATAGCAAGTTTGAAGCCAGACTGGGTTACATGTGGTAGTTTGAATGAGAAGGTACCCCATAGACTCACAGTATTCAGACATTTTGTCCCGAGTTGGTGGCACTGTTTTGAGAGTACATCACTGGTGGCAGGCTTAGAGAGTTTTTAAGCCTTGCTGGATCTCCAGTTGCTCTCTGTTTTTGAAGATGTGAGCTTCTGTTTTCTGGTCTTCCTTGGGAGAGTCTGATGAGAGTCATTTCTATATGGGATTTTAACTTTTGCTACCTTTCAAATTTGTTTAATGGCACTATTTTAAGCTCAAATAAATTAGAAAAATAGCATTATGAGTCATAAAATTCCATATCTTGGGTAGATAGCAATACATGGTAGTATCTTCTTGATCAAACAGCATGCAGGCATCAGGTGGAGACTTATTAGCAACATGCCTCACTATCCTAGCTTTCATTCAAATGTGTCCCTCTCTTGAGTTTCTTAGGGAACAGTAGCAACTGAACAACATCATTTCTAGGAAGTTTATATTTGGTTTGGCTTCTTTCTTTTTTTATTCAACAACTTAAGCAAGTTCACCTAGTTATAATTTGTATGCCATAAAGTTCATGTTTCACTGTAAATGATTTTGAATCATGTTTCATGTCTATGAGGTTATCACTATAAACCCTCTTTAGAGCATTCCTGTTGTGTCAAGTGCTTCCTTATATTTATCTGAGGTCAGCCTGCCTTCTCACCTTCGGCTCCTGCATTGCTCCGACTGTCTGGCCATTATTAGTAAGGGTATCATGAAGATTTGCTTTGAACTTTTTATGCAGATAGGTTTCCTTTTCTACCAGGAATAGAATTACTGATTCATATGGATTTGTGTTTAGAATTTTAAGACACTGCTAATCATTTTTCAAAGTGGCTGCACCATTTTATATTATTACCAGTAGTATGTAGGATTTCCATTTTCACTAGATCCTTGACAACACTTGCTATTATCTTCCCTTTTAGTTATGCTATTAGGAATAACTAAAGCAGTCCTAAGAATGAAACTGTCGGAAATAAAGTTGGCCTTCTGTATACACAGGTTCTGCATTCATGGATCCAACAAACCACAGATCCAAAATATTTGGAAGAAAAAAGATACAGATATTTTTATTATTTCTGGAATAATGTAATGCAAGAACTATTTGCACAGCATCTACATTGCATTGTATATTAGGTATTATAAATCTAGAGAATATGAAAAGTATTCACAAGTATGCACAGTTTATGCAAATATTCTGCCATTTTATATAAGAAATTTAATCATCCATGAATTTTGGTGTCAGCGGTGGTCTTGGAGCTACTTTCTGATGGATACTGAGGGATGGCTGTGTTAGAGCTCCTAATAAACTGTTTTTGGTGAATGAAACAAAGTGAGGAAGAGGTATGAATCTCTTTGTTATAGGCCTTTCCTATACGCTGAGAGATTAAACCCTGTTTTTATTTCATAAAGCTGGACATCTTAGCTTTGGTTGTGGTTGTAGGGGGTGAGTTATGACAAAAACATTGCCCTTTGCTTAATGAAGATACACAGGAGAGCAGAGGCCAGACATAAATTATTGCATGGACATTGGGTAAGGGAGTATGGGTGAGAGATGATAAAGGATTAAAGGGCAGAAGTCTTTGAGGACTCAAGTGGAAACACACATTCAACATCAGTGAGTAGTACAACTTACAGAACAAGGTTCATTTCCATGAAGTTATTAAAAAGGAAGGTAGTCATGTTCTTTATAGCAGAGCACTATAGAAGTTGCCAAAATAGAGACTGACACTTAGGAAACACACATTAGCTATAATTGTCAGAATGGGGTTTGAGAACTGCTTTGACAATAAGAGTGAATTTATACGGAGATACTTAATTTTAGATTAAAACTCTTTAAATCCTTAAAGTGAGGATTAGTCCTTTGGAAATGATCATGAGCTTGTGGGTAAGGTTGAGGTATGGAAAGAGGAAAGATGTAGAGGCTATGTTACAGGAGTCCCAGTGTGGTTTGTTAGGACTAAATGGACCTGACTTTCTTGGGTATGCTTCAAAGGAAATGGTTTCAGGACTGATTGTGTTTGTCACTACTTAGTATCTGATTCCTTCAATTGTCATATCCAGATGATTAAAGAAATCTATAATGTGAGGTTGATTTTGAATATATATCCTCCTGTTATACCCTTATCCTCCTGTTTTCTTTTGTTTTATAATATGAAAACCTACTGACTTTATATTTGTGGAAAAAGCATTGAATAAGAAAAGACCTTAGTTCCACTGCTTGTTAGTTAGATAGGAATCCAGTCTCTTTTCATGTGAAGCGTAAATAATAATCAAGCCACTGAAATAAAATATCGTGGATGACTTGGCTTTAGCAAATGACATTTGTTTTCTTGCATTTCTGGAGTTTAAACCAAATTTAAAATGCTGGCAAGGTAGGTCATATTCCATTATGTCACTGCATAATTACATGACTGTGTTAGGAGACGAAGAGTTAGAAAAGGGCAGAAAAGACAGAGGGAGGGAGGAAGGACAAGGTCTCTGGTGTCTCTTCTCATAAGAACACTGAGACTATCTTGAGGCCCACTCTCATGATCTCATCTAAACCTGATTACCTCCCAGATACAATCACACTGGGAATTAAGGCTTCCATGTAGGAATCTTATGGGAGGGGACACCACAGTTTAAACTTTAATCTATAATGAGATTATTGGTTAACAAAAAACTAACATTTTAGTGTGTTTCCTGCTAGGTTTTACTCAAAGTCATTAGGTTTCATTGTTTAATTATCACAGGAACCTCATGATGTTTAGACCATATTTCCATTTTATGGATGATGAGACGTGTGGTTTTAAAGTTGTTCAAGATCACTCATATAATATTTCTCCTAGCTCTTTTTCATTTCTTCAAACATTTTTAAAGTAGGACCTCATTTATTATGCCTACTATGTTTCTCTACCTTTGCAAAGCTTTTTGATTGTTTTCACCCTGAGATATTGCCCTTTGATATGACAATTTTAAACCATTAATTGTATGTATCATTCTGACTTTTAGCCTGTTCTTTTATGCTGCTGTTACTCAACATTGTATAATTTATAACCAAAATAGATTTTGAGTACCGTAGACCATGACTTTTGTCTTCTCTATCTCCTTCATTTAGAATTTAGAAGATTCATAATTGTTTGTAAGAGTGATTAAATGTGAACATTGAGAAACTGAAGATCAAAGTAATAGCGGGTTTAAATATGTTCTGAAAAAAAAAAAAAAAAAAAAAAAAAAAAAGAAAGAAAATTATAAGCTTCTCAAATTAGGCTGAATTTATAAGTGGTTTGTGAAAAGCAGAAGACATAAGTGTGTTCACATACTGTAACTTTTAGCATACACTAGCTGTGAAATAATATATGGCACTTCTAGAATTATTATCTCAGTCTTCAAAGTTATCCTTTTTTCTTTTTTAAGAATTAGATCATGTCCTTGCCATTGTTTTGTTTCTTCTGTTACTCGTGGTCATGCTGTATATTTGTAGAGAAGAGATGATTTAACTTGGATTTTTGTTGTTGTAGTTGTTTTTTGGGGGGGACAAGGTCTCACTGCGTAGCCCCCACCTGACATGGAACTTACTGTGTAGGCCAAATTGGCCTCAAACTCACAGAGATCCACCTGCTTCTGCCCCCTAAGTACTAGGATTAAAGGTGTGCACTATCATGTCCAGCTGGATTTTTCTTTTAATTTTGAAAAATAGTTGAAATAATTTGACTCTTACTAACATTGAGAAGTTAGCCTTGTTGGAAAGATATTAATATTTTCACTGGCATCTAGCATGGCTCAAGACACCTAGAAATAAACCTCTTCCATCAGAGAAAGCCCGAGAACCTATTGAATACACACAGCTCTATGTCTCTATCATATAGCTATTTTTTGATAAAGTTGAGAGAATAAAGTAATATAAACTCTTTTGACTACCATATATGAACTAAAATTACAAATTATGATTATGTCTCATTTAA